GGTGTCATTTGAAAGAACTTAATCAGTGGAGTATGCATCCCAAATATGAGGTTCCTATCTCCTATGGTTCAAAAGTTATGGCAAAAAGTGTAAAAAGCTATTTTTAGCATATAGGTCACAGTCAAGGTCACAAGATCATTGACCTTGTTTTCAACTGAAAGGGCTTTATTAGAGGAGTATGCATACCAAATATCAAGTTCCTATCTCCTATGGTTAAAAAGTTATGACAAACAGTGGAAAAAGCTATTTTTAGCATATAGGTCACAGTCAAGGTCACAAGGTCATTGACCTTGATGTCATTTGAAAGGACTTTAATAGTGGAGTATGAATACCAAAAATGAAGTCTCTATCTCTTATTGTTCAAAAGTTATGGCCAAGGTTAAAGTTGACAACAGACAAACAGACAAAAAGACAAACAGACAAACAGATAAATAGACAAACAGACAAACAGACAGGACAAAAACAATATATGCCCGGGATCTATTGATCCGGGCGCATAAAAAATATTGCCACAGTTGGATAGTTTACATCAGTATATGCATCAGCATATATGAACTTTGATAAAATATCTAGAAAGTAATTTCTTTGAGCTCGATGGAAAGACAGATGGAAGGGTGGAGGACGGACATGACAAAAACTAATACATGTATTCCTAATCATGGCGTAGCATAAAAAACTTGAATATACATTATATGAGGATGTTTCCATATCAAGATTATACATGCAAATTCAAAGAATTGTGGTCCTTTGCTTTCTGTGTTTAAGTGAATGGGATGCCATAATTTATGGCAGATTGTGTATCAAATATGCATCCCTATCATATGTCACTTTATGAAAATTAGGTCAAAGGGGGGAAATCATCGCATGCTCGAAATATTTTGTTGCAGGTAAAGTACATGTCAAATATGAAAGACCCATCTCTTTTCAATCAAAAGTTATATATATATATATATAAATATATAATATAATATTTTTGAAAAGTAGGTTAAACTTCTAGGTCAAGAAAGTCAAAAGTCATGATATATTTAGAAAAGTCTTTTCAGATGTAATATACATGTATAATTTAAATGCCATATCTTTTCTCTTTCAAAATGATTAATTTAAAATGTTATTTTTTGGAAAGTAGGTAAAATTTTGAGGTCAAGGTCTCACTTGGGTTAAAAAATCATAGTACATTTAGAAAGTTTTGTGGTAATGTACATGTGAAATATGAAAGCCCTATCTCATATTATTCAAAAGTTATGATCAAGGTTAAATTTATTGTGACAGATGCACATACTGTCAAAGATGGCCAGACTGACAGACAAATAAGATTTAATGTTCCCTCCCTTTCCCCCAAAACGGGGGACAATAATGCCCTTGCTGTTCTTGAGAAGAAGATTGATGATGGAAAAAATCCCCTGCATATTTCTTAACGCAAATCAATATTGTGTTTTTATGTCATTTAATTGTTTGTTTGTTGTTAAACATCCCTCTCAGGAATTTTTCACTCAAATGGAGACACCCCCACTTGAAAAATAATGAGGACAAGTCGGATTTGAGGTCAACATTCATTTTAGGAGTTTTCAACCATTAAGACGTAAAGAGACAGGAACTCGATCCTTCCCCTCACCTCATCCCAGACCCCTGTTTATATTCATGACATGTATGCAAACTACTGCTTGTTTTACATTTTTTTAAAAATATGTTAATAGCCTATATACAAATACTTTAATGTGGTCCATCTCTTTGAATGATTTTCATTCCTAATTCTAGGAGGATAGGTTGATGAATGAAATGTCAAGCAATCTTATCATTGATGCACTTTTACTTCATTTAATGCAGTCATATTGTGAACATTTCCAGTTAGAATCATTAGAAGAGTGGGGATGACCTCCAGGGGGTTCAAGACCTTTATACCATTAAATTTACATAACATAATAACACAAAAAGCGCAAAATTATGTATGGTCAAATGGAAAAAGTTTCCCACTATTTAGGAGTCACATGATCATTTGCCATTACTGTTTACAGGGACTGGAAGTGTATCTTGAGACCCCCCCCCCCCCCCCCCCGAATTTGCAGGACTATAATATAAAAAAGACTTTGGATGCCCTCCACCCTAGAAAACAGACACCACCATAACTTCTCCTTTTATTTGCTTCTCAGGAAATTCTGGTCTGGAAGTCACCCCTCCCTCTCAGAAAAAAATTCTGTTTTTTGTAACTGAATGTAACGTCGATAACGGGCGATAACTCTTTAGAATGTGAAATTCGTCTCATTGCAGCATCGGATGACCTTTGATCCTTTAAACTTTAACCTAACCAGTTGCATTTCAGACTATTTTACCCAAATCTATACCAAAACGTGTACTTACCGACTGCCATAGCTCCAACTTCATGAAATATAATCCAATTAAACACAAAATAATTCCAACTGACATACATGCAATGATGTGTACACAACACTAGGCCTAGTACTGCACGTGCAGTGCTATCTAAAAATGATTATGGTAAAACTAGTACTTAAGTTAGGTACGTGACGCAAGCCCAATGTGATGCAGGTCTTCATATACATTTACAGTATAAGAACAAATTTAAAATTATTATTTACAAAAGATGTTTTATCTTAACTTTGCCATCTAGGCCTATTTCCAAAAACAGGAAAATAGGGTGTGTTTGCGTGTGTGTGTGTTGATGGGAGAAGGGTGGGGGTTGACTAAATTGATTGGGTATACATGGTATATGGCAGCTTTCAGGGTGTTTCTGCCTAATCAAGTATAAAAAAGTTTGTACATTTTGGAAAAAATAATCAAAAACGCTTTAAACTAATTTGAATAATATTTGTTGTTGATCTATATGAGAAAATAGATTTAAAAAGTTCCAATTATGGGCCAAAAATTTACCCCCCCCCGTGTTTCAAACCTAATTTACATCATTAATTGAATTCTGTTGTTTAATTTAAGACTGGTAATGAATTATGAATATGAAATACATGTACCTATAAGATCGAGGCCCATGGGTCACATGTTCACTTGTGAATATTATGCTCAATTTGATGAATACATGGAGGCCCTAGCTATTATGTAAATTATTAAATTATATTGACTTTTTCTTTGGTAAAGCCTAATTTTAGAGGAGTGTGCATTTAGAGGCAAACACCTTAGTGCGGGTATTACTGTCTCATGACAGCATCTAGTTTTTAAATGCCATTAATTTTTCACTAATTCATTATTATCTCCCCTTGGAAAAAGGCTTGGCCCCTCATTTGAACAAACTTGAATCCCCTTCACCCAAGGATACTTTGTGGCAAGTTTGGTTGGAATTGGCCCAGTAGTTCTTGAGAAGAAGATGAAAATGTGGAAAGTTGACGACAACGCTGACGCCGATGACAGACAACGGACAAATTTTGATCAGAAAAGCTCACTTGAGCCTTCGACTCAGGTGAGCTAAAAAAACATTCAAAGTTTCTTTGAAACTAAACTATATATGCAAATTGTGATTGAAAAATGGAAAGATGGGATACAGTTCTAACACTCCTGAGCTTCAGCCATAGTCATGGTGACTGTCATTGGTCAACTCTTACGAAACATCATAGAGCAGATATAACTGTCTTTTTGACTGTAACATCTAATTTGATATACAGTTGTATTAGTATACTGTAAACGTGGTTATATTGACGAGTTGAAAAATTGACGATTTTTGGTTTACGAAAATTGACGAGTGTTAATTTTGACGAAATATTGAATCGAGAGTTAAGTACCTTTGAATTCACGAAGTTAAAAAAAATGAATGCCAGAGTTTGAGTTAGACCATCTACAGTGTTAGATTGTACAAACCCTATAAGTGTGTACAATTTGATTACATAAATTAACCTTTTGCATTTTGTTTTCATTATAAGCGATCATTGCCTGAGGTGACAAACTTGGTTAAGCACAGCGTGATAATTACGCTAAGTTACGCATTCAAGTATTTGATTCACTAGCTTGCAATTGGATTCAATGGTTTTTAAAAAGTGTGTTTATAGATCACTATGTTTTCATAACTAATTACAAAGGAAATTAACAGTAGCTTTGATCTAGTCTAAATAAAGGAAAGCCAAGAAAATTAAACGGTAAAGTTGTATAATGGTCAATGTCTGTTGTGACGCTATATATATGATTTGAAGTTTGACGAGTGTAAATTTTGACGAGGAAAGAAGAATCGTCAATATAGTCAAAATTAGCACATCGTCAAAATTTCCACGTTTACAGTATTTATTACATTTCAAATGTCTTTGTTCAAGATAAAATTACAAATAGTTAATGTATTTTATTTCTAAATTAATGTACTGGATCAATAGGCACGGTTAAAAAAACCATGTGCAGGGTGCCGCGGGACGAATAGAGACAAGAAGCGGGGCTTGTAGCATGTGGACTGGCGGAATCAATAGCATGTAAATATAAGGAATAACTGTCAGATTTTTCGATTTCATGACGATGATCAATCGATTGGCTTGCGTGATAATTTTATGCATAAGCGCCATCGGCATTTATGCAAATTATCACTCAAGCCAATCGATTGATCACATCATGAAATCGAAAAATTAGACAGTTATTCATTAAATCAACAAAATATTGATCCAATCTTTCCTTTTATCAATAAAAGCTCTTTATCTCTTACTCCAGACTGTTACTTAACTAATATACCATAGTATCCATTTTGAATAATCAAAATAACTGTTTTTCTTGCAAAACATTTATAGATACATGTATATACAAAAAACTTGACAAATTAAAACAGACAGTGGTCATTGCTATATCAGCATGAAATCAATTCCACTAAATAATTTTATTGTTTATCCAGATATCAGACAAGCTGTGCTCATTTGAAATGCTTAGCTTGTCCACTTACCTGCAATACACTGTACTTTAGTACAAATAATTCTTTACAAATTCATGTAATTCGTCTCAACCATAATCATGATAATCAAACATTTAATTCATTAATTGTAATTCTGAAAACAAGACTAGAAGACAAAATATTTCTCATGTAAAGCAAAAATGTACTATTGCACAATTTACTGATCAATACCAAAAACAAATCAGTGTGTTTCCATTATATTGCACAACTATTTGAAAGTACCTTGTCCCTGCAACCAATGCACTGGAGGAGTATACACCATGTATCATACCATGCAGATTGCATTAATACTGTAATACTGTATACAAAACAAATCAAAAGTACATGCAAAAAACATTACACACTTGGATTCTTCATCAGTAACTGGGACACTATGGTACATATTTCTGGTGGAATTTAAAGAAACAGTCCAACACTTGTGTTCTACACAACGGAACATCACAAAGGGAACACTTGTAATAAGACCTCCTTATTTCTCCAGAAGCAAACTTGTTATTCTCGGTTTTACAATGGGCACACTGCAGACACTTTGGGGCATGGGAGATAAGTCTGTGATTAACTCCCCTTTTGTCAGTGTATGTAGCTATGAACTTCTGAGTGGAGATTTCTGGGTTCCTTCCTCCAGGGTACGACATCCTAGGACTGGTCATCATCTCTGAAAAGGACACCCACAGTTACTTTTGAATGTTCACCTTCACAATTGCTTTTAACATTTATTGAACGACTAAACCAACTTCAGAGTCCTAACAATATTTTAGCATTCATGTCATCACACATTACACATTACTTATTTTAATTACTAAGATTTGTTAAAGTGTGTATATGGAGCAGCATTTCCACCCTGAAGAAAAGCAAGGTTTTAAATGTGAATATCATCTTTATAGAAACATATAAGAATCTCGTACAAGTTTGCATTTCAAAAATTGTATACATGTACATGCAATACTGTAGTTGGTTTACAAGCATAAATTTCCAGTCAATAAATATCATTCTAACACAAATTATCATAAAAATAATAATTCATGATATACCAGAACTCACTGCTAAGAATTCTACAATTCCTCCTTAAGGTTTTTATTTTTATCATTTTAGATTACAGACTTCCATATGCTTCTTCAGGACACTTTTATAACCGAAGGAACTGCCACATAGCTCACACTTAAATGCCCTCTGTCCTGTATGCTTGATTTCATGAATTTTCAGAGCATACTTGCTGGCCATCTGTTTCCCACAGATCTTACACTTGGGGAATTCCTTTGACTTGCTTTTCTTGGGGTCAGGATGAAATCTTTCCATGTGGAGCTTTTGTCCATATCTCGTACTGAAATCTTTGTGGCATATTGGACATTTGATAAACTGAGTTCCCATGTCTTTCATTTGCATTGCCACTTGATCTGCAAACATGGATAAATGCAAAGCCATATCTCCTTGGCCAAACCCAGCTGGAGGAGGAGGGCTGTATAAACTCTCATTTGAGACAAGGGGGTGCATTTTTTCACTCCTTGGATCGTTGGGGGATATTTCTCCACTGTGGCCACCCTCTGAAATCATGTCAGAATCCCTCCTACGCCTTTCATCTGAAGAAAACCAAACAGATGCCTCAGTTTTGGGGAGGTCTAAGCATGCCTTAATGGTCCTTGTTTCTTAGTTGATGCTCAAATAGTGAATTATTTCTCAAATGCAGCTGTATGCTAAAAACTATTTCATAAATTAATTCTTGCCTTTACAGAGAAAAGATATAATAAGTATACAACGAATATAATATAGAATGTATTCACAGAAAATGTCTTTATTGCAAATTCACACTACTGGTAATCATGCCAATTAAAAAGGTAATAAACTAATGCAGGGACAAGTATGTTACGTGAATTAAACACTAATTAAAACATGTTACCAATAAAATTTAATACTGAATTTGTCATAAACATGCATGTACAAGAAGTGTTTAAAATAGTGTCATTACTTGAAAAATCAAGTGAACATTCACTCAGGATGATCTTATTAAGGGGAGATACAATTCACACCTATAAAAACTAGAACTGTCCAAACAGGACAAAATACCCCCCGCTGGGTTTTTTCAGAAGTAAGTTTTTCCATAATAAAGATATGTATTACACATGAATTATGAACTTTTTCTTCAAGTGACCTTGAACTTCCCCAAATGACCTTGGGTCAAGGTCATGAAACACCCTTGGGTTCATGGGCAATCTTTGTGTGAAATTGAGAACTTACCAAGTTTACCCGTAAGAAAGATATGGACCGGACACGAATTATGAACTTTTTCTTCCAGTGACCTTGAACTTCACCGAATGACCTTGGGTCAAGGTCATGACACATCCTTGGGTCATGGGCAATCTTTGAGTGAAATGAGACCCCACCAAGTTTATCCATAAAAAAGATATGGATCGGACACAAATTATGAACTTTTTCTTCCAGTGACCTTGAACTTCCCCGAATGACCTTGGGTCAAGGTCATGACACACCCTTGGGTCATGGGCAATCTTTGTGTGAAATGAGAACCTACCAAGTTTATCCATAAGAAAGATATGAACCGGACACAAATTATGAACTTTTTCTTCCAGTGACCTTGAACTTCCCCAAATGACCTTGGGTCAAGATCATGACACACCCTTGGGTCATGGGCAATCTTTGTGTGAATTGAGAACCTACCAAGTTTATCCATAAGAAAGATATGGACTGGACACAGATTATGAACTTTTTCTTCCAGTGACCTTGAACTTCCCCAAATGACCTTGGGTCAAGGTCACGACACACCCTTAGGTCATGGGCAATCTTTGTGTGGAGTAGTAGATTCTAATGTCCCTCCATAAGAAAGATATGGACCGGACACGTTTGCACAGACAGACAGACAGACAGCTAGACAGACAGACGGACAAGGTGATTCCTATATACCCCCCCAAACTTCGTTTGCGGGGGGTATAAAAAGATAGTATAAAAATGTAACAGGAGAGCAGTGTTTTCCCTTTATTTCAAAGTAAAGGGTAAGAGATCAGTTGTAACAGGCTAGGGCATGAGGTTTATGAACAGAATCTCTGTGGACCTTGCAACAAATTTTTATTTCAAAGTGGCATTTTTGTCAATTGAAGTGGTCAATATGGCCGGTTGCTGGTTCTTAGGGAAAACACTGGGAAAGGAGAAAATGTAAAGCTGGACAGAGAATCATATTCAGGACTCTTGCTTCACTGGTCAGGTGCTCTATAAACTGGGCTATCCAGGGCCCAAACCATTACATTCCTCCCTCCTTATATTGTGTTTGACCTCAAAGACACAACCCAACAAATTTGCCCCTAGGTAGTCCGGGGTGATCAATAGCATACAAAGGGAGAAATTTATAAACAAAAGAGATGTCAACATTACACAAGTTTCCACACTTTCCATGCATGAACTGTCAGTCTTTGGCAATTATTTCATTCTTTTTAATAGTACGTCTTACATATAAGGCCACACCAATTTAATTTTTGCTCTTTGTACCCTTGCATTTGTATTTAAACAAAACAAAAATAACTTTAATTCAATTTTCTTGTACCATGGAAATTCTGTGCTGATTTTTTTTTATTTCTGCTCTATTTTGCATATTTAAATCTGCTTTCTCTACAAATCAATAAATAGATAAAAATGAATTGTTCACTATAATTTTCACTTGTTCTGCATAAAATTTTGCCTACAAACAATAAATAACATTATCATTTAATGGCTCCCCCGCTCATACTTTTTTCATCAGATGTCCAACAAAAAAGAAATTAAATTGGTGTGTTCTTTATGAAAAATTACATAGCAATCCAGTGCTGGACTTTGGTCACCAACTTGGAAGAGAATTTGAATTCTTTGAGACCTACCTGCTCTGTTTATCTGTCTTGGAGACATTTCTTCTAGAGGGGGGTTTTCATCTGTTGAGAAGTTACTTATGGACCAATCTACTGGAGTTATCTGCCCTTTATTCTGCTGAGAAGACTCTGGATTTCGGAGCTCGGTGTAGTGCTCTGGATAAAATGAATCTTCAGGTTCTGTTTTCACAATAGTGAAATCTTCTCCAGCACTTAGGTCAACCATTGTTCCACTAAAATCTGGGCATCGCTCACTATAAATACAGACTTAGTTTTAATAATAATTCTAATCTACTCATGAATATGGACATTTAGATTTCCAAAATAAAATCTTCCAAAAAAAGGTTACCCATGTATAGGTAATTAATCGCTGTTAAATATCTTTTAAAAACTGAGAAAAAGATCAGTTTTTGCAAATATTTTCAACAATTCTCTTGCGATTATTACTAGGGGTGGGACGATACACAGATCTTGCGATACGATACGTATCTCGATATATTGGCACGATACGATACATATCTCGATATTTTGATAAATTATAAAACTATTTTAAAAAATTAGTATTTTATTTCATTTCTTGCCTTGACATTAAATCAACAAATTATTTTATATAAAATCATGTGTACTTTGAAATTATACTTGAAGTTCATCAATATCATTCACTAAAACTTTATAAAAACAATAATACATGTACATATTATCATTACAAATTCCTTTTATGAAGTTGTTTACAAATAGTTGAGTAGTCATCAGAGAACACTGACTAAAATTCATTTAAAAACATCACATTTACATTTTTATTAATTGCTGAAAGTCGGTAGGAAAGCTGAGATTACAAAAAAAAAAAAAATACGAGATGGACTAACAATTAATAATATCAAATACTGTGGAAACGATGCTTTCTGTGTAGAGCACGCATTACATACTGAACTTTTCTTGTCCAATCTTCCGAGGCTGCTTAAAAGTGAAAACATTTTACCCCTAGACAACGACTTATTAGTTCTAAAGTGTGTTTTCAATAATCAACATCATCTTTTCGCTTCGTACAAGCCGCCATTTTCCAAGGACATGTACTTTCATTTTCAATTTTGGATAGGTCGTTCGTGTATCGTTTCGTACCGATATTTGAATGCTTGTATCGTCAACCGTATCTTAGAGGAAAATATCGATATGTATCGGTGTATCGGTATATCATCCCACCCCTAATTATTACAAGTAGAATACCTTCTTTCTTTTTCTCCAAGTTTTCTCTGGGACTTTGTTTGGTTTTGTGTTCCAATCTTTTGTATTGGTGAAGCTAAATCTTGATTTGGTTGCTTGTCTTTCCCCACACCCCCAGTTATTAAAATGCAAGAATCAGAAGATCCCTGTGAGATAGAGTCACTAAACTGTAGTACTTTTGCATGTGTAACAGGGAAAGGATCACTTTGTAATCGTTCTTCTGGATTAGAATCAACAGTCTGTAAGGATCTTACTTCAGATATACAAGGGGTGGAAAATGGAGACACTTTAGACAGATCAACAAGACCTGTATCATTCAAGGTATCAGAGGTAGGATTGTTCACTGAGGTAGATATTTCTGTCTGGGACTTGGTAAAATCGATTGTTCCTTTATCTGTTGAAGTGCTGGACTGTGTTGTAAGAGACAGAGAAACAGTTTGTGGAGGAACTGTTTTTGACACTGTGTCCCTTGATGGGGGAACTTGGAATAACTCAATCCCCTCTTGTCTAGTACCATTTTGAAACTGAACACGTCCTTGCCAAGAGTCTTGTTGCTCTGTACAACTTTCATTACTGGTATTATCAAACGATTCATTTATTCTGGAGGTTGACTGACGGAATCTCTTGGATTGAAGCCTGCCTGAATTTTCAAATGTCTGTGAACGCTTTTGAGAACAATCCTGCACTTTCATCAACTTAGTGATTCGGACATGTTTAAATTCAGCCTGATCTGAAGGGCTATAGATAAAGGGACTGGAGGAGGACAAACACTTATTGAAGTCAGTACAGCAGTTGATGATGTTGTCCATGTGGAACATCCGAGCTAACTTCTCCACCTGCCGGCAGTTTTCCTCAGTTAACATCAGAAAGCCCTCGTAGAGATACTGTAGAAATGTGATGATGGACTCCCTACAGATGTCAGAGGTTACACGGATTTCTAAATGGGAACCTGAGGTGGAATTCTCCATAGATTGTAACATAGGACAAGAGGCCACTAAAACTACTCTGTGTGCCTGAAAGACAAGGATACCATAAAACTTTTATTATCACAAAAATAAAATATATTTTAAGAGTCTACAATTCATGAAAGTAAATTACTTTAAACTCAGAACATTATTATATAGTGTGACTTCAATACTTTAACCAGCCTTGGAGATGGCTAGAATTTTGTCAACACAATCAACAGAGTAATCTGAAATATCTGATGTTTTCTACATGTTCTAGCCTTACTAAAAATATCTGTATGTCTATTTGATCTAGTCAATAGAAGATTTGCCATTTATTTGTACTTTGATAAGTTTCAATGCTGAAACTAACACAGAAAATGCATTAATAAGTAACACCCTTAGTGCCTTACCCTGACTAAGGTAGTGTCTGATTTAATGAAAGCATCACAGAGAGTCTGTTTTTTCCACATGGCACACAGCTGTGATTGGAGGTTACTGGACTGTACATGGTTCATATAGATCTTGTGGTATGTGGTCATTGTTAATGTTCAGTACCACCAAAATTTAATATACCAATCTGAAAAAAAGAATGTCAACACATATTAACATGGTTCAACTCACTTGGAGTATAATCTTCCTTATAGTCCTAAAACAGTTTCATGAGCATAACTGTATCGGATGATTGGTAAGGTAATGGCAGCCTGAGGGCCATAAATTGGCCCAGGTAGTTCAGTCGGTAGAGCACCTGTCAAGGGATACAGGGGTCCTGGGTTCAATTCCCTGTTCATATATACATTTTTTCCTTTCCTCTTACATACCAACATGGAAGCTAGTTTCATGCCTTGTTATGTTTATAGTATAGTAGGTGTATCTTTTTTTAACAATTAACTTAAGATGGGGAGTGTCAATGGTTATTTGTAAATAAGTAATTCCTGACAAGGTCCATGAACTGTGTCTTTGGCTCTTATCCATGCATGCATCACTGCATATATACAAGATGATGTACAATTACTCAAGCATAGTAATACACGTTTGTTCAAAAGCAGTTTAAATCTTTGCTCTGACTAATCCGAGATTCCTCTGACTCTAACCCCTGCTTTTATATTGTGACTTGTGCAGGGAAGAAGTCATAATACAAAAGCAAGGGTTAGAGTCAAAGGAATCTCGGATTATGCTCTGGCCAGTCTGGGTTGCTTTTTTTAAACTCTCTGGTAGGCTGGTATAAATATAAGTAGTCACATACTTGCGATTTTTTGGGAGGGGGTTGCTATACTAAATAAAAACCAAGATTATGAATACTTCCAAACTACTACAAGTAGACCTAGCCTCAAATTTTTGTATTTTTGACAAAAATCTAAAGCATTCATCAGCTGTACATAATCATAACAATAACATTTTTCTCTGCTATGAGCTTTACAAACCCAAAAATCATTTGATGTTTCAGCATATTCTTATAAATAGCAGACCAACCTTTAAGACTTACATTTTGTTAATAAGTAGGCAGGCTAGTTTTTCCAAACTAAGTTGGTTAGTTGGTAAGTTGATAAAATTAATATTTCCGAATTTCGGTTTTGATTAGCGCCATGAAAGTGTACGCGGTAAAACTGGTACTACTAAACAGAGAACTCTAGAGAACCGCAGAGAACCCTAAAGATTTTTAGTTATTCATTGTCTGAAATGTTTATATTTTGAATAACTATTATATCATGCTAAAACAAAATTAAATTATATATATATATATATATATATATATATATATATATATATATATATATATATATATATATATATATATATATATATATAAAGCACTAAAAAACCAACAACACTGTATATCCTAAATGTCGGATCTACCAAGTAGATACAAGGTCACGGATGGAAATTTATATAAAGCACTAAAAATGACCAACGACACGAACAATAAAAATTGTCAAATTTTCGGGACGCCCTGTCCCTTCCTCAGGACAAAGAAAAAAGTTAAAAAGTCATAAGAACAAAGAAAAAAGAGAAACAAAAACAACTAGCACTACTACTAAACACTAGATATTTACATACTTAATTACATGTTGAATTGGAAATTTTTAAGAACACTAATAAAGAAAGAAATCCGGACCGCTATGAAATGCGTCCGGTCTATCGGGTATACTCGGGTGAAGTGCGATTTACATAATTGAACGAATTAATTATGCTAATTAATTACGACAATCAGTAAATCGTACATTGTTTCATTCTCTCAAAATGGCGTAACTTTACTTAATAAAGACTAATCAAAGAAAAATAATATAGCAGGGATATTTAAACATATGAATTATGATCCATTTAAATTTTGAAATATTTAAGGATTTATTACCGGGAAAAAATAATTAACAAAGGCGTAAGCAATAAATAGTTATGTGGGTTGTTCGAGAGTTGGTGACGCAAATTAACTGTAGAGTTTACACTAAATTGAGAGAATAATCTTGTTTAGTATCATCAGGAATTGGGTCTAGTTTACGTTCATTCTGGTGAAGTCATTCAGTTTGTTAATACCATTAGGGCGGAATGACACCCCACGGAGAAAATTTCTGAATTCATTGATTT